TTTTATTTCTTTAATTTTATTGCTTCGATTATTAATATTTTAATTTACAGGTCGTTCCGAGGAAAAAGGGCCGTATTATCGGGATTGGCTCGGTTAACGATGTCCCCGCAGCGACATCGGCTTATGTTCACCAACAAGCCGATGACAATGCGCACCTACGGACGGAGTTGCAGACGACGCAGACGGAGTTGCAGGCGACACAGTCTCAGGTGCGTACGCTCACGGCCGTCCTCGACGTTGTGGCGCTAACAAACCCGCAACTGGCGGAAGTGTTGCGTCAGAGACGGGAAAGCGGAGACCTTCCATCCCAAGAGCCTCCACCATCTCAGTCACAGCCGGCATCCAACGACCCTGGAGACGACTTCGTCAACCAATTTGATAAAGACCAGCATCATTTTTAGTTTTTTTTTAGTTTTTCATTGTATATTATGAATTTTAAAACTTATTATTGTATATTATTAGTTATTTATAAATATTTTTTTATTTATTTTTAAAATTTTTTTAAATATATATAATTTTAATTTATAATTGTTTTTTTTTAATAGGAAAAAATAGTTTCGAAGTAAAATCCTCGTAAAGGNTCCTCGTAAACTTTCCTAGCAAACTCGTCGTAAAGTGGCTACTACGAGTTTACGAGGAAATACTTTACTACGCCCTTACGAGGAAAGTCTACGTGGAGCTTACGAGGAAATGTTTTCCACGGCTTTACGAGGAAATCTTTCCTCGTAAATTAGCTAGGCCTTTACGAGGAAAATAGCCTTTACGATGAACGTCTTTCGATTTCGACGAAACACGTTTCCTCGCTATTTCCTAGTAAAGGGCCCTTTACTAGGAAATAACGAGGAAAACCCGTCCTAGTAAAGGACGTGTTTTCTTGTAGTGAACACTAAAAGAATCATTTTAATTACAAAAACGAAAATGTATAAAATGAATAATGCTGATGTATTGCTATAATGATTGTATTTTATAATTCTACATAGAATATATTTTTCCTTGTAGAGGTAATGACGCATACACCTGAAGTAAAATATATTTTTCCTTGCAAATGCACATAACTGTGTGATTTCAAATTGCAAGATAATCTTCTACAACCAATATGAATATCCAATCAAAATGAGACATCAAAAGGAGAGCTATAGCTAGTGTAAATACATATTAGTGGGGTAAAATTCAAATACAAGTATACAACTGAAGTTATAGCTATTGTAAATACATATTACTAGTGTAAAATTCCAATACAAGTATACAACTAAAGTTTTTTCTTTCTTTTTCATATATTTGAAGTTGAAGACGTGGAAGCAAGCCAGGCCCATGGACGTCATGTGGCCCCCGGATGCGTCGATCAACACAGACATAACATATCAACACAAATCGAAAACAGTATACAAATACAAGGTTGGTCGAAAATATATAATATATAGTGGAGTATTTGCGAAGCGACCAATCAGAAAATATTGGCAGAGGTTCTCTGTTTTCTTTTGCCATGTGAATCCTATATGCGTATTGACATTTTCAACTATCCCCAAGCATCCATTCTGCTTAATTTCTTGTCATTTCGCATATTTGCATTATTTACTGGTTATTCGATCACAATTCGATCGACTATATAAAATCTATTATTAATCTTAAGATTTCCAATTGTAAGAAACTCAGTATGTCTTAACACACACCGACACACACATTCACAAAAACTCATTAAGTAATACTTTCAACTGAATGTCCTAATTTAGATTACTTTCAAACCAAAGTAAGTTTTAGTAGTCTATGGAACAGTTGGTCCTTCTTTCTTACTTTTTAAAAAATCAACAATCTACTACTGAATATTATTTCGATATCTCATGGATAAGACTGGTTTACACGTCTGTCTACGTGGACGGACGTATACTTGATGACTTCTCTTGAGAGAGTAATTAATTTTTGGATTTGTAATTGACTTGTTGAAAATGAGTATTTTTCATTTCCAATACTTGTTTGAAAATATAATATTTGTAAATTACTTGTCCCATTGGACTACTTGCTATTAGTTACTTCAAGCAAAATATTTGCAAGAAGAAGAAAGACATAGAGATTTTGATATCAAAGTACTGTTTATTTCTTACAACAAAGAAATGTATCTCTTTTTAAAAGATTTCGTTTCCATGGCTTTTATTTTCGGTTGCAAAACAAATTACTAAAAACATCAAATCGAGTTACTAATTTATTTTTGTTATACTTATTACTTGTCTTGTATTATAGCCAACAATTTGATACACGATTTGACGATGAGTATTTGAAAAATTTAAACGGATCAAATAACAAATATAGTATAAGACAAATAATGAGTATTTGTTCCCATCCCTAATAAACTGGTTCATCTTTGACTTCAGTGGGAGTTTTTGTTGACTTAGAAGTCATTTAAACGAAATTGATACTTTGAAACCTATTAAAGCGACGAGAGGATTGAATACTGAATGCACTAATTTATCTTTTTGAATGCAAATGAATTATCCTAATTGTTCAAAAGGATTAACAATGTGAACACAGTCTGCTACTATAATGCTAAGAAGTAGGTTCAAATTAATTACACAATAAGAGCGGATTTATTGGCCGGAGTCAAAATTACGGCTTCTCAACCAGAAATGTCACCAGTAAATATTTAACACGTATCATTTTAACGTACAAAGGAAACAAAACCTTTGACAACTTTTTCTTTCTTTCTTTCCTTCAAATCTCATTATATGTGAAAGTAAATTATACAAAAAACTGCACTGCGTGATTTCTTACTCTAGAAACTACACCAAAATATAGAATTCTGGTAAAAATACATTTGATGAACAATCACAAAAAAAATAATGACAAACAATCATATTTATAACACTTTATTATAAATAAAAAACCAGACTATCGTTCCTCGGGTTCTCGGTCCTGAAACGATAGCCGGAAAACCCAATTAGAGACTCTCATCTTTCTTAAACTCTTTAGTCTTTGATGTTCACTTTGACTTCTTGTAGTAGACGACGGTCCATCAATGAACATCTTCAATCTATTCAAAGCAACATTTAGTGTTTCCTCGCTCATATTCGCGAAACAAACCCTAAACCAACCCGGTTCGTTACAATGGCACGAAGAGCCGGGAGAGACATTGAGCTTAACCTCGTACACGATCTTCTTCCATAGCTCAATCTCGGCTTCAAACGTGTTAGAACTCAATAGGTGTCTCATGTCGACCCAACAGAAGAGTCCAGCGTTGCTTCTAAGACACTCGATGCCTACATCCTCTAGACCCGATACGAGCTTATTGTGTCGATTTTTAAGTCGGGTTTGGTTCTCTTTGAGGTAGTTCTTAGTGAAGTTTTTGTCGGATAACAATGCTGATAAGAGGTATTGCGTTTGAGAAGATATAAGACCAAAACTAGACATTTTTGTTGCTGCAGACACAACAATATCGTTGGAGTAAATAACTCCAACGCGAAAACCAGGTAGGCCTAGATCTTTAGACAAACTGTAAACGATGTGGACACGTTTAGAAACATCAGAGTTTTCGAGTTTTTTTTCTTTGAGGACTTCCATTACGCTGATGAAACTAGGAGAAGTGAAAACGGTACCCGAATAGATCTCATCGCTTATCAAATGTAAATTCTTACGTGACACGAAGTCTAAGAGACGGTTTAGTTCGGTTCGGGTTATCGTAGTACCCAACGGGTTAGATGGGTTGGTTATGAGGACTCCTTTAACTTTTAGGTTAAGCTTTAGAGCTTGTTTGTAGGCTTCTTCAAGTGCGGATTTGGTGATGCGGAATCCGTTTGCACTTGTGCATTGGATTGGTACAATCTCAACTCCGGTTCGCCATTTCAAATCCCTATCAAATCTGTAAATGATAAATGTAAATAGAAAAGGGTTTTAGTTAACGTAAGTTTTCATGTAACTTGTGAGTGAAGTAAGGGTTTGAAAACAAAAGAAGTTAACTAACCCTGGATAATATGGAGTAGGGAGCAAGAAAGCATCTCCTGGATCAGCGAGACAGAACATAAGAGTTTCGTTAGCCGAAGTAGCACCCGCGGTGAGGACTAGCTTTCTCGGATCAAAACAAACTCGGTTTCCTCTATTTTCCGACATGAAATCCGCCATAGCCTGAGAAATAGTAATGACCAAAAGAAACTGGTTTAGAAAATTGTGGTATAATAGGATGATTATTAATATTTATCCGATTATTTTAAATATTTATTTAATCTTACATTCTTGAATGAAGGAAGGCCATGATAATCTTGGAAAAGAGCTAGTTCCCGAAAAATAGATTGGCCTTCTCTTTCGAAATTTGCTGCCTCCGGGTTTTTGGCAAGCCATGACTCAATAAGGTCGAAAGATAACTGCAAGGGCGAAGCAAGACCATAAGATACAGAATCTAATATATTAATAACTTTCTGGCTTTCTGCTATACGATAGGGTTACGTTTTATGATTAGTTTAACTAATACTAATTACCTGATTTTCTGCGAGACCCATTTGGATAATGCCATCTGGGTTCTTGAACTCGTCGTAAGGGTTCTTCTCGTATTCTTCCCAACCCAAAAAATAGGAAGAATCTTGGCCATGAGTGTTGCAAGTAGCTTTTTTTGACAATGTACCCATTTTCTTTAGCTCTACAGAGAGAGGATGTAGGAGGATAAAGTGGAGAGAGAAAGTAAATATGGAAATGAAGATTTGAGGGAGAATATAAAGTGGTGTTTTGATTGAATTGTGAGAGATGCTGTTGGTAAGCTACGATGGAGAGGTCACTAGACATGTGTGGATGGTTATATATAGTTTTCATGCTACGCCACGACAGAAATTTGACTAGTCAGATATTCAGATTTTCAACAATTTTTGTATTAGTTAATTAAGAAAACTAAAAGAATATTAATCAATTCACGCGTTTTCATCCACCGTCTCTTATCACTCAAATAAGCTCAGGTTAAAGAGTTATTATCACGCTTAACACAACGGATTATGCGTCCCTCTTCTAAAGGCGTTTCGGAATTTAGAATGTGTGTGTCTAGAGAAAAATTATTTTGGTTAGTTCATAAATAAATTATGTAAAACAAATAGAGAAACAGTAATGAGATGCCCCTAATGACAGGAAATCAACATGTAAAATGGGATATATGCGACTCATAGCCACTTAGAAAAAAACATATTCAAATCTATATAAAAATATATGGCAACAAATATTAAATAATTAAAAAGAAATGTGAAATTGTCACTGTTGCATTTAGGAACTCTTTGGACCATGTTAATGTAATGCTGGTCCACGCTGCTTCATAATCTATACATGTTGTGAACGGTGTCGGTTGTATTTTTTATATATTCGCAATTTTTTTTTGAAGAATTATATTTATTTAAGTGAACCTAAATTATATTTTCGAATATATATATATATAGAAATTCACAAAGTTACAACTGAAAGGCTAAAAAATACTGGAAGGTTAATTAACAATCACGTTTAAGGTTTTAAAACTCATTAGAAGTGTTACTTAAGAACAAAAAATCCGTCCATCTTTAAATCTGTATATAATTAATCTATTTCCAAAAATTGAGAATATAACGAATAGGATTTTAAAACACTAATTAAATAGAAAACTATAGCATTCATTAAATCTAAACCAAGTAGTACGAAATTTTAACACAAATGGAATTTTAGAATATACTATATATTTAATTTACTGTATACAAAGAGTTGTGGAAATTCTCTACACATCGGAGAGAGACTTTCTATATTTATAGCATTACATAGTTTTACTTTATTTTCAAACTTGATAAAACCGAAATAATATTTTTTTAAACCAAGTCCAAGTATGCTTGATGACGTACACTGACAAAATTAACACATTTAAAACCAATGTGAAGTTGTGAACAAGAACAAGATGAAATCTTTGAACGAATGATAGTTCTCTCGCCTGATATGTGTCGGAACATACCAAGTTTAGTTCGCGTCGTTCTTCTTATTTTTTTTGCATAATGATGATTACTCAATTAAATTTATAAATTATAGTAATAATAACTGCATAAGTATATTTTAGGAAACTAATATTATAGTTGGATATCGAACCACTAATTAATTAAGTAACTTTTTGAGGTGTGAAAATCATTCTTTTCTTTTTTGATTTCATATGTCATTCTCAATTTGTATTTCCCAAAATTGAAAATTTTACCATCTTGTGATGCGGAGTATTAACTAACAACGTGTTTATCAGTTTATAGCTTAAACCGATGTCGGCTCAACGATCGCTTTTGCTTCTTCCTTTTCAAAATTTTACTACTTTAATTTTACTTCGTGTGTGTATGTCGTTCCAGCTGGTAAAATGCTGAGAACAACAATGAAATAAAAATGGGACAACAATATAGTTATTATAACTCCCTGATTAATCAATGTCCCGCTATAAGCATATATCATGACATCTTATAAACGGATCGAATACACTAAGCACTTTTATTTTCTTAGGTTTTGATCTATTAGTTTGTTTTGTGTGTGATTCCATCGATCTTAATAAAAAGAATTGTACAAAGAGTTCATATCAGTTGTACCTTCAACGGTATTGTAGAAATAAAATGCTTCTCACACTCTTTTGACTTTCAGAGTTTATAGATTCTTATAGATTGTGTATATCTCCATCTTTCTAGTTGACTATTTGAACAATACTCTTGTACGATTTGCTCTTTCGAACGATCAGAATTGCCAAATGTATGTATGTTAGTTGATAATTCATCATCCCCTATATATTATTTGAGAATCATTTAAAAAGTTGTAACCTTAAGTTTGTAAGAATTAATAATAACCCCAATCCTATGTGGCATAGCTCTTTGGCTTCTATTTCAAATTCCAAGGATTCTAGAGCATGTGATATAATGTATAGTTTAAAAATTATACTCTCTAGCAATATAATATTTTGTACGCTATAGTTGGTCGCATATATCAAATATTTATTGCTTCGCATGCTTTCCTTAAATAACCTACGGAATTACCTAATATGATTAAAATATATATGACAATTAATGATTTTAAAAAATAAAGATTTGATAACAATCTTCATACATTTTTCTCATTTTGTTTATTTATTTATTCTTAAATAAATTACACAATTAAATTAATCATATAATAAAAATCTAAATTTTTTTGTGTGTATGTTGTATTTCGAATTTTTCAAAATGAGTATAAATTACTAAAACAGTTAAAAGTCTCACATAAACTTTTAGGATCAACGTTTTAATTTTTTCTATATTAAAATATAATGATTATAAGACCATATGAAGAAATAATTTTAGTTTATATATATTGCATATCGTTTTAATTAAACTATATATCATATGAAAATACATACTTATATTTTGATATTTGCCTTGAACATATATTGAAAAGTTAATATTTTAATTTTGAAATATGTCATTGTTTTTTTAAAATGATTATAAATTATTGAAACTACTAAACATCTTACATTAAAAAAAAATTTTGGTGTAAAGTCTGTTACACAAATATGCAAATAATCATAAAATCATATGAGTAAAAACCTCATTTAATAAATATCCATATTAAAAGTGTTATATATTACTATCATTTAATTTTAATTATATATCATATATAATATATAAGATTGATTATTTTGATATATTTACCCTAATTGCGAATAAACAAAGTGATAGTTAAATTTATATGCATACGTCAATTTATTACATAATAGTAATTGATTTCTTAGTTATTTAATATATATTTATTATTTTATAATATGCATAAAAATATAAAATAAATAACAAATATAAAATACTTATTGTGCATAAAGTGCAGATCTTAACCTAAGTATGTATCTCTTTAATTATTTTAAATCTTAAGTATTTTTTAAATCTCAGGTCAAAACAAACAAACGAAATGAGAATAAACTTGAAAATAATATTTATCTCGAGTAATAACCAAAATATACAAAACACAACAAGAGAAAAAAAGATAAATAGGATTGACACGTGAATGTAAGCTTCTCATAACCATAATTAATTTTTAAATTATTAAATCATGATAAAAAACTGAGTTAATTTTTAATTTGTTAATTTTTTAATTTTTTAAATCATTATGGTTATGTTAAATCATGATCATGATTAATTTTAAATTGTTTATTTGTATTTGAAAACTTAAAATATTGTTTTTAAAAATAATTTAAAATTTAAATTAATTTTTTTATAAAATTAAAAAAAATTGTAAAAAATATAGTTTTCTAATATTATTAGAAAAAATAAATAAATTATATTAAATTAATTTTGAAACTTTATATATTTTAAATGCAAGTATTTTACCAAGTGCTTCTTACAAAAACATTAGGAAACTTGCGAATACCCTATTAATCAAGTCCAATGACACTCCGTTTATTTTCCGTCACTCGAACACTGAAAAGTGAAAAGATATATGAAATCAAATCCACTAAATTCTAAGATTTGATCTACAGTTCTAATTACAATTGTTTCTGATCCTACGTATAAATAATTATATAAAAATTCCAAAATTCTAAAATTTCAAATACATATAAAAATAATCATATATAAATTGTAAATTTGTCAATACTAAAATTTTATATTTTAATTACATATATTCAACCTGCGCAAGGCGTAGGTCTTATCCTAGTTTCATTGATTATAGGTCAATTTAGTCAAATTGGTCAAAATAAAAATATTTAGTTTATTGCCATTAAATTTCTTCAGCTAGAGGTACACATGTATCATTTGTCAAACTACATTAGTGTTATATTGGTTTTTCCTTTCTTCACTACTATGAGAATAATTACTTCAGAACTAGCACCTTCTACATGTAACGAACTTATAGTGAGGTTAAATATATATTATATACTTTTAGTCGACTGAAAAATAGTATAAATATGTGTAATCACATGTTTTAATATATATTAATTCTCTACTTTTTATAATCACAACTAAACAAGTACATCTTATTAAATAGATAAAATGGTATATATATATATTACAATAAAAATTTGAGAAACATAGAATAATCAAATTTGAAATGTTTTATTACTCTTTCACATATTAGTGCTATATAGTTTCCTAATATTCTAAAACCTTATATGGTAGATACTAATCAAGATCATGATATGTAATATATTGGTTTGTATCAGTGTTATTTTTTTTTTTAATTCTTCTGCTTAAATAAGGTTGAATGTATGTTGTTGAGAAAAAAATCAAGGGACTAATGAAAATTTAATCTATGGATATTAAAATATAAGAGTCATAATCAATATAATAGTGAAAGATGTAACAAAATTACACATAATTTTATAAGATAAACTTCATTTTTTTTTAAAAAAAACTTGTGTTATTTATTAGATTTACTGAAATATAGTTCAGAGAAGTAAATTTATAACCGTAAGCAAAAATTTATATAAAATTAGCTATAGTTTAAGAAAGAACGAGATATAGGCAATAAATTTATTGATTTCTCAATAGAAATAATAAATATAAGATAAAAAAACATGGGTAATAAAATAATAAAATATGAAATGAACCAATTATAAAGAAACAAATAAAAAACTGAAAAAACTAGTTCAATAGTCACTTCAAGAGTAACCAAGTACTGCTTCCAAAATCTTATAACTTTCATCTTAACCTTTCACATAGGTTTCTTTGGCTTTAAGTCAGAGAAAAAAATTCATGACATTCATTTTTTTTCCTAGTTTGAAATTAATAAATAGTGTTACCTTAAATTAAAGTTTAGTACTCCCTTCGTTT